CGAGGAAGGACATGATTTCGCATCCCGCGGTCTCATCAACCAGCTGATCAATGTTTGGCAGAGGGAAGGGGTCCATAGGGCACGCCTTATTCAGATCAGTGTAGTCCACGCACATGCGGAAGGTAGGAGGCTTCTGTGCAAGGACTACATTTGCTAACCAAGAGGGGTATTTCACCTCCTTGATATGTTTTATGGAGAGGAGCATGGCTACCTCCTTCTTCACGAACTCCCTTCTCTCGGCCGAGAGGGGTCTTCTCCGCTGTTGTACTGGTTTGGCCGAAGGGTCCACCGCTAGGCGGTGGGTGATGACCCTTCGGTCAATTCCCGGCATATCCTCCGGCCCCCATGCAAAAACAATGGAGTAGGCGCGGAGGGCTTTGGTGATGCCAGCCTTCAAGTCTTCGGGGAGCTTGGCTCCAATCTTCAGGACTCTCTCCGGCTTGGCCGGATCGAGTATCAAGTCTTCGGTCTCCTCGGCAGGCTCAGCCCTCGGCCTTCCTTCTTCCTCTTCCAAGGCCTTGGTGGTGATGGTGTCCACACGAAACTCTGTTTTACTAACCTTCTTGGTAAGTTGAAGGTAGCAGGCCCTAGAGAGTTTCTGATTCCCCCTCGAGTAGCCGATGCCGGTGGGCGTGGGGAATTTGAGGCAGAGGTGTCTCATGGAGATGACTGCTTCTAAGTCCTCGAGGGCAGGCCGGCCGAGGATGATGTTGTGTGCGCAGTCGAGGTTGACGACGACGAATTCCGCTTCGAGCTTGGCTCTATGGGATCCGTCGCCGAATTCAACCATGAGGGTGATGACGCCCTCGGCGTCTATGCTGTCCCCCGTAAACCCGGAGAGGGGGGTGTTGATGTGTCGGAGGGACCCCCTGTCGAGTCCCAACTCTTGAAAGGTGCTGAGATACATGACGTTGACAGAACTCCCCGTGTCGACGTAGGTCCGGTGGATGATGGCGTCATTGATCTCAGTGCGGATGACGAGGGCATCCCTATGCGGCAGAGAACCCGAGGGGAGGTCCGCATCTGTGAAGAATATTGGATCCGCCCTCGGCCTTTTAGTCGGGGGTGTGTGATTGACTTCCCCAATGTAAAGGGACTGTGCCCATTTCTTCCTTTGGCTTGTTGAATCGCCTCCGGTGTTGCCGCCGTTGATCATGTGAATGTGGCGCTTGTATTGTTGATGGGAGCCCTCTCCCTCGTCATCAAGGCCACCAATTTCACGTTTCTTCCCCTGTGGGTTCCCCAAGGGGATGGTGTTGGGGTTCACCCATTTGTTGGCCTTCGGCGGTGGCCCTTGATGGTGAAGGGGGCCCTGGGGAGGAGGGTCCCTGATAAATTGAGACAAGTGGCCCGCCTGTATCAGCCTCTCGATGGCGTTCTTCAGCTGATGACAGTCGTCGGTTTTGTGTCCATGGTGGCGGTGAAAGCGGCAATACGGCTCATCAGGGCCGATAGCATAGATCTCGAGGGGTGTACGGGAGTCTCGCTCAACGAGCCCCCGTTCTTCTGCATGATCAAGAATGACGCTGACGGAATGCGTCAAGGGAGTGCGTGGGTGCTCAAGGAGGACGGGTTGCGCCCATGCCTTCGGATTATTCTTGTAACCGCCCCCGGGTCTGGCTTGGCCACCTCGGGAGCGATCGTTGTACTGTGGCTCTCGGTTGGTCGGAGGGGGAGGCCCTCCGGGCCGATTCCTGCCTTCATTTTTCTGAGAGGGGTCCGCGTTGCGGCGGTCCTTCTCGATTTCCTCCGCTTCAGCGTATCGGTCCCCCCGCTGAAGGGCCTTTGTATAATCGCGGGGGGGATCAGTGATAAGGCTCCGGGAGAAGTTACCATTGCGGAGGACGGTGTGGAAGAGGGCCATCAAGGTCCTGTCATCGGCGCCCTCGACCTCGAGGGAGGCCTGCCTCCAGCGTTCTAGGAAATTCCGAAGGGTTTCCTCCTTCTGTTGTCTCACATTCAGAAGGTGGGAGAAGTGTTTCTTTGAGCGGTGCCTCCCGGCAAACTGCGTAAGGAAGCGGTGGGCAAGTTCTTGCCAAGAATCAATGCTGCCTTCGGGCAACCGGTTGAACCACTCATACGCTGGTCCCTCCAAGGTGGAAAGGAACCAACGGCATAAGTATTCATCCGATGCCCCCATCATCATCATGCTGTTTTGATAACGGCTATAGTGCTCCTGGGGATCCGTCTTCCCCTCATATGGTTTGATAGGTTGCCCCCGATATTTGTGGGGGATTTTGGCCGCCAACACCCTTGGGGTGAAAGGCGTCCTAGTGCGGAGCTGAATGAGGGGCTCGCCTGAGCCTTCGGCAAGTTTACGTTTCATTTCCTCCACCTGTGCCCGGAGGTCAGCGTACTCCGGATCTGGCCTCGCTGTGGAAGCCGTCGGGGGTGCCTGTCGATTCTCCTCGAGTTGACGGAGGAGGGCTTCAATGATTTCGTCCTTGGGATCCTTCGGGGCAACCCCTTGGGAGTTGGCCCGGAAGGATTGCGCCTGGTTGATCTGGTGCCTTGCGTCATCGGCATGGAGGAGGGCTTTGCCTTTGCTCCGTGGGGGAGGCACGCCCTCGGCACCCGAAGCAGAGGCTCCGCTCTCCTGGGGCCTGCTGAATGCCTGTTTCCCGAGGCGGTCTTGGACCCCTCGGTGCCCGGGAGCTCCCCCAAGCCTCTCAAGTGCGGAGGTCCGGGGTTTCTCTTTCATCAAGGGACGTTTATCCCTGGATTGGGCCTCTTGGGAGGCGGTGTCCTGCGCCATGACCCCTTCGGCGTTTCCAATCCCCGGGGGAGGATTGGTGAACAGAGGGGGGAGCGGTGGTAATTGAATAACATTCCCTGCAGCATAGGGCTGGAGGGGTGCCTGAGAGGCGAGGGCTCCGGAATTGAGAGCCATGTTTTGAACAAAGGCCGCAAAGGCAGCCTGAAGATCGATGGCCGGGGCCGGAGGGGGAACTTGGTTCTCACTCCGATCCCTCCTTCGATTATCAAGGCCAATGCGGGCATCAGGGGTGTTCTTCTGCAGCTGTTGACGTAGGTCAGCGGTGGCTTGCTCTAATTCGAGGATGACACCACCCTCGGGTACTAAGAGCCTGTTGGAGGCCTCAGCCCCGTTGGTTTCGCCGGGGGCTATGTGGTTCTCCTCAAGGGTTTTGGACTGGGCACGGGTGGTTCTTCCCATTTTTGGTAAGTATTTTGTGTTTGGTAGAGGGGGAGGGTTTCTTACTTGATAGTTCAGAACTCTCAACGAGAGCACCAAATGATGGATAGTCTACCCGGGGGGTATCTTATCCGGGGGGTTATTGCGGAAATAACTAGAGAGAAGTCAGAGCAATAGGAGGAGAGAGAGTCGACTTTATTAAATGAACTCAGCGTGTGGAGCTGAGATGTAGATTGTGTCGATTACAAGGAGAAATGGGCTGCTATTTATAGCAGCAATAAATGCGATGAGAGGACACGTGTCAGTAATCCAACGGCCGAAGGGTCACATCAGCCTGGTGGCACCGGCAGTGGTACGTCAACCGCATTGAATGCGGTTGGTGGATGCGACGTGGCATTAAATGCGGTGGTTGGCTGTCTCTAAAAGGAATCTTCGATGATTGAGCTTGTTCAGCCGAAGGCACCTTGTGTAGCCGAGGGCTCCTTGTGTAGCCGAAGGCTCCTCGTGTGGCCGAAGGCTCCTCGTGTGGCCGAAGGCTTCCCCTGGTGCCGAAGGCTCAATAGTGCCGAAGGCTAATGTTCTCGCCCGTTTTCCCCCAGTAGCTTCTTATGCCAGAGAAGGCTATTCTTGTGAGTTTTGGAGCCTTCGGCCTGGGAGGCCGGAGGCACCGCATTATGTATTTTGGGCTACTTTGAGGCTTTGGGCCGTTGCATTTGGGCCTGAGTTGTTTCCTGAGCTCAATGGACTTGTGTAGAAGAAGTAGGAGTCTATGGGCCGGGGGTTCCTGGGCCATATACTCCATCAATACTATTTTGGAACTAGTTTTGGTTAAACCCTAATTTGTGAACTTTGACTTTGAATCGGAGATGTTTGGCATATGATTTTGAGACATGAATCTGAAATAAATATTATGAGAAGGTATTTTGAGGTTAAGTGATATGTGAGTATTCTATGAACTAGATGTTCATGATGATAATCGGGTAATCTATGAACTACATGTTCATAACGACAAGTGGAGCAATATATTAACTACATTGGTGGTGGTGGTGGTAAATGCTATTTTTGTAAAGTGGGGTATCAAATCTTTTGCCAAATTGTAATGAACAATTTCTGGATATTTTGAGCACCTGGGAGTAATCTGTGGTGTTCGGCTCTACATCCGGTTAAATGTAGAACTGTGGTCTGGGGTAGTGCTACTATTATCTGGTGGATGGTTTCTTTGGTGGTTTTAGATACTTGGATATTATTATTATTATTGGTTTCGGATTTTGTGGTAGTAGTAGCACCTAGACCATTTTTATCTTTTTCTTGGGTAGTCGGTAGAGACTTAGCTGGTCTCGACTACTTGGACTTCTTACTACTCGGAGGGTTTGGAATCCCTTTTTAGAGGGTGTACACACTTAAGTTAGAAGTTCAGTTTCCAATTGGTGGGTGGTGGGGTCCGGGTTGATCGGACGGTTCATAGGTGACCTTAGTAGCTTGTGCAACCGTTCAGGAGACCTGGGGTGATGCGTGGTAGTTGGTGACCACGTATTCGCTTGGTTCGGGTTCTCTTTTTGGGAGCTCCCCCATCCTTAAAAGAATCTAGAAACAATTAGGGGATATGAGTTTTGGGCATTTTCTGCTCGCGCATCGCGCGTCATATAACTAGTATATATATATATATATATATGTATGTATGTATGTAGAGTGGTCTTCTTGTCAGGCCGGCCTGACGGGATGCTCCGTCCGACCGAGCCCGTTTGGGCATAAATGAAATGTCAGAGGCAAAAGGGGCTAAGCCGGGATATTTCGTGGAAATTACCCGTATGGTTCCTTTTTAGGCATCGCATTTCATTTATGTCGCACAAGTATTTTGTTTTCATTTTCGGACTTTCATCTTTTCAGTTTAACACTTTTTATTTCAAAAGTAATCCACACCCTAAATTAAAACATACGCAGTACATCCCTCGGTGAATCGACGATGAAGTTCCTCCAGGCTCCATCAATGAAGACAAAAGTTGACAGGAACCCACAGGGAATTACTCTACAGACTACGGTGAATTAGCTAGGCATTCATCTGCTTTTTCGACATTGATGGAGACACTCGGCCGATTTCCAATACAGGCCCAACTCAAAGACATCATCGGCGACGAGAAGCTCAAGGCAGGAAGCGATTTCGATCGCTTTATCGATCTTATGTTCAAGCGACTCAATTGATTTACTCACAGGTATGCTATGCAATTCTCCTCCTCTCCATGCGTTATCTCTATGTCTTGTATCATTTTATTTGTCAATTTAAAAAAATTGATCTGATCGATTAAGAATTCGGTTGGGTTGGAATAAGCATATCAGAAAATTCAATTGTTTCATTTTGATCTGTCAATTTGTCAATTTATGCGTTATCTCCATGCGTTATCTCTATGTCTTGTACTACGTATTATTTACTCACTTTTTGAAATAAGCATATCAGAAAACTCAATTGTTTCATTTTGCTCTTGAGCTTATGCAAACACTCACAAATATGCTTTGATCATGAAATTTGAGCCATGATTAGCAACTGAAATTAGAGTTCAACATTAAAACTAAAACAAAACACCTATTTCAGAAAATTATATATCGAAACAGAGAACTATAAAACAATAGGTTATATACTTATATCTACACATCTCTACTCTTACGTTGCTCATCAAGAAAAACAGTTGGAAACTTGGAGCGTGTTGTCTATTAGGTTTGGGCTTAGATTATACGGAGTAAGTGATTGTGTTCTTGCTTTGGTATATGTATAATAATCATATTCTTCCAACTGTCATGCCAAACCAGATTCAAATTAAGGCCTGATGAAAGGCTATCTTCTGTATAATTAATTACTTTTTATCTATTTTTTGGCATGTGGGGATGTAATTATAGAGTTGGAGTTTGGAGAGAAGCAAAATATGTTGGATATTGATGGATGACATTAGTAAATCAGAGTAGCACACCGCAATTACATCCCCCTGTGAATGTATTTCTTACATATCCTAATGTATTTTTTAACATTAGTGCAACCATTCTAACATATATTGAGGCGCTGAAATTAGTGTTCCTGGTATGTTGGATCTCTTTGAGATACTATTTGATCAAATTTATCAATCTACATGTCTTGGTTCTCTCTTGGTTGCTGGTGCGGCTATTCCAGAAAAAAGAAGAGAAAAACCTGTTCTTGGTCTTCTTCTTGTTACTGGGGCTGTTTCAGAAGAAAGGGGAAAGAATCTCTGCTGCGGCCAAGGGTTTGCTCCTGCCGCTGCTTGTTTTTTTAATGGAATGAAAAAATCTTAAATTGTATTGTGTTTTATGCTTCAGTGATACTAAAATGCAGGTTACCAAGGGCTACCAAGGATGTAGGTGTTATTGTTGTACTTGATGTACTTTCTGCCATTGCCTATTTCAGACTTTCAGTGGACAAGTATATCCTTGTGTTTGATAAAAGATTTTTCTGACCTCAAAGATGTAAGATGTAGCACATCCCAAATCAATAATTTAATACAACTTGACTGAGTAGTTGATTAAACTTTTGGATTTGAGCATCAAAATTGTGTCTTTTATCTTTACAAAATGCTGTCAACTGTATTCTCTCATTGTGTTGTACATATATTCTAATGTTTTACTCATATATGCTTTATTTATTTGGCATGAACAGGATATTGGTGGACTTACACAAGGACTTACGCCAAGGCTTCTCAAATCATTAAGTCATCAAAACCATGGATTGCTTGAGAGTTCTTTTTCAATTATGTTGAAGGTTCCCTGATTCATTGATTTTAACAATATAACGAAGACTATCAAGCAAAGTGAAGACAAGATATTACATATATATGTGTGTGTGTGTGTGTGTAATAAATTGAAATACTAGATTGAATTACACAATTGGTGTGATACTTTTATGTATTGTTTTTTTTGTTTCTTTTTGTTGCATTGAATGTGTTGCTTTTTGTTGCCTCTTGTTGTTTTTTGTTGCACGGTGTCATATTTTGTTGCATTGTGTTACTTATTTTTGTTTTATTGTTGATCTTGTTTTTGTTGTTGTTTATTTAGGTTTTTATTTACTTTTTGCTACTTCTTTGAAGTAAAAAAACTCAGGCAAATTTGGATTATGAGTATAAACCAATGACAGGAAACATAAATAAACAATAAACAACAAAAATTTCTTTTCTAGTTTTCTGCATTGTATTGCTTTTTGTTGCTTCTGTTGCATCATGTTGCTTTTTATTATACATGTTGCTTTTTGTTACATCATGTTGCATATTGATTCTGATTTTTTTTTTGCCTATTTAGATTTATATTTACATTCCTTACTTATTTGGAATAAAAAATCACACATACGCACATATAAATTATAAACACCTAAAATGGTAAATTTGGATTTATGAATAAACAAAAAGAAACATGAAGAAACAATAAAAAACACAAAAAAACAATATGCAATAAAAGTAACAATTAAAGGATAATAATAATATATAAAGTGTATAAGTTCGTTATTACAAGTGTTTCAATTTTTTGTTTTTTCATTTTTTATTTTTATTTTCACCTTTTTATTTTCGATTTTCAATATTTATAAAATTTTTAATTTAGTGTTTTTAATTATAAGAACCTTTTTACATTTTAGTTTGATTTTTTTATTGTTTTAAAATCTCATATATTTATTTCAGAGTCTTTTACAACGTTTTCAAATAATAGAATTCATATTCTTTGATGTGTGTTTGGCTTTTTAATTTTTTTTAGTATTTTTATGTTAACTTTAACATTTTTATTATAGAAATTGTACATTAATTATTTTTAAAAATTACATTAAGTGTTTTAACCTTTTGTATTTTTCTGAAAATCTTAGAATTTTTTGCCGTCTTGCTTTATTATATAACGTTCTTCATTTTTTAGGTATTTATCTTCATATTATAGTATGTTTTAGAATTTTTATTTTAAAACTTGTTTTATCTCTAAAAAGTTTATATGTTACATGTTTCAGAAAATATTTACTCCGTATATATAATTTATAATTTTCTAACTTTAGCTTTTTCAGTTTTTTGTTGATCATTAGCTTTTTCAGTTCAATATTTTATTTTTAACATTTTTTATTTTCTAAAAAAAAATACTGTGTAATTTCATGTTTTTAAAATTGAACAAGTTTGTTTTTAAAAAAAACATTGAACAGGTTTGAAGATAATGCCTATATTTATTAGTGTAGCATTGGTGACTTGGTGAGTATGATGTCTGCTCTTTTACTTTGTCAACGTAATCTCCATTCCTGGGAGTAACGGTTCGTAAGTGGGTTTCGATGTGCTTGAGTCTATTTGTGAAAACAAAACTATAGTAAGTCTATTTTTGAAAAGGGAAAGAAAAAGTGAAAAAGTTGATATTATTTTTAGTTTTCGGTCTACTTGTGATAATTACCCGGATATTTCCACTAACTAAAATAGATGTGAATTGGCCGGCCGACCGATTGGGCCAATTCGCGAACGAAACAAAACAGGCAATCAAACAGACAGACCAATTCCCATTTTCGAATCGCCAATCCGCCATTCGCAAATCGCAATTCGAAAGCCGGAAGCACCAGCCACCAAGAAGCAGCGCGACGCCGCCACACCGGCAGCTGTCACTCCGTCCGTCAGACTCCCGCGACATCGGCTAGTAAGTCATCTTCTTCCTCTCGTTTCTTCTTCCCTCAAGCGTATCTTCCCCTCTCTCCTTTCTTCTTCTCACCCCTCTCTTAGTCGTCGAATACGACCCATTGATGAAACTATTACAGAAGTAAATTTTATTTTAAGATTTAAAACGATGCCTGTCCATATGGGTAAAAATAATATTTCCAAGGAACCGTTGTGTCAAGGGTATTTTATTAATCAAGCCCTGTTTAGGTACACACTATTTATCTTTTTCAAGATTCTAAGATGTTTAGTGAGTGTCTTAGTCCATGTGTGATTAGTAAGTCTCTTGTCAAATTGGTCATTATTGTGATGCGTTTTTACTTTGCTGTTTTCTTTTTCATTAAGATTCCCCCCCCCCCCCCCCCCCCCCTCTTGTGAGTGTTTCAAACTAATTACGAATCTTATTGGTTGATGATAGCATGTATTACATGATTGTAGACTAGTTCTATAACTACTGTGTTTTCTGCATCTTATTACTTGAGGCCTGTTTAGGTATACACTACTTATCTGTTTCAAGATTCTAATAAAATAAATAATATAGTTTTTGTATTAAGATTTCATTAGCGTATTTAGATATTAAGTTATTGAATAGCTTGAAATAAATAAACTTTGAATAGCTCTAACCCCTTCATGATCTATGTGCAATTTTCTTGAAAACTTAGAATGTTTATGACTTTTGCTACTCCATCTTATAGTTTACATTATGTCACTGTTTTTCAGGTTCAGTTCCTAATTAGAGAAATGGAAGAAAAATGGGCCGCATTCGACGCGGCAATTCGTCCATATTTGGTTGACATTGAGCAAGCTCATTCGTAAAATCTTTTGCCCCTTTCGTGCGTCCTTATCAATCTCCTATATTCAATGGCTCACATCATCTTTAAATTGAGTTTTGCAGCGACGTTACGTGGTGTAATTTCAATAAAGCAGCATCTGTTTCCCGGTCTGTTCTAGAGCGCTTGATAGAAAGAATTCGGTCTAACGATAGCATACTTAAATGTGTGGGGAGTGATTCTGAACTGGAAGGTTTGTTGGGTAATGCTGGATTGATCTTTATTCAGTCCTTGGATGAACTTGGAAGGTACCTCCGATTCATAATCCAACATTCTACAGTAGATTATTCTTTTCCACTTGATAGACTAGAAATGTTGGTAGCATCTCAAAATTTGATTTGTAAACATAAAAGTGAAACTGTTCAGGCTTTGGTGTGGGTCAATATGAATTTGTTTTTGGTTTGTTTGCAGGACATCGGAAATATTGAACGAACTCAAAGTCTTGTTTGGCTCAGTGACTGCCATACCTGCTCAACTCATCATTACTTGGTACCTTTATTATATCAACTCTTCTCATCAATTATCCAGTTTATATGTTATTGCCAATTACCGAATTTTTAATTTAGTATGAAGTCATTATTTGGCCTGTGAAATGGCTTGTAGAAAACATGCCTGGCCCTGGCCAAGTGCAAACGGTGCAATTGAACACGGGCCCATCTTTAAGGAGGGCCCCCTATTCTTGCTATCACATATATTAGGCCTTAGGGAAAATAAAATTTTATTAGTGTTGCGTTAGTCCTTTGGAGCATGGATCTGATTTTAAATAAATCGAAACACAATCTTCTGGAATTCAATCAGTCCGAAAGGTTCCCACGAATGAGGAGGTGGATTCACCTCCTTGGAGGTACGAGGAAGCTTCCAGGGTTATCTTGATTTTTTTCTAAGAGTTTGAGCCTTTAAAGCTTCTTTTCAGTTACTTTCTTTTAATTTCTGACGATATTCAAGAGCTCAAAGCCTTAGGCAGAGGTGGGATTGCAGGAGGCCGAAGTTCAGAAGGGCAGTGCAGAGGGAACTTCTCAATTCCTTCTGAGATTGCTTCCCCTGCCTTTTACTTTGATTCATTTTGTTATATTTTTATTGTTACACGGAATATGAGTGCAACTATATTTTAGTATCATTATGAATGCAAATACGGAATATAAAATTACTGTTGTTAATATTACATTTTATATTTTAGGGCCTCCAACATAGTTTTGAACAGGGCCTCAAATATGTCAGGACCGGCCCTGGCAGAAAATAGAATTACAAAATTTTCTTAAAATATGAACTCTGTTCTCTACCTATTTACGGAACAAATTTAGTTCAAAATAAGACATATCTACCCCGCTTACCTTAGTATACGTATTGGATACACACATTTTCTTTGAAGTCTTTAAAGTTTGAATGTGTTTTATAGAAGCTAACGTTGAACCATCTTTGACAGGTCATCTTTCCCAATGTCTGACGGCCTTTCTTCTCATTTCCTAGAAGCTGTTGAAGAATATCTCAATAGCTGGCAATACATGGAGGAACCTTATGATCATTATGCTTGTGAAATTGCTCATGGAGGGGGCTTCGGTATGAAGAATGAGCTGGCAGTTAATGATTATCTAGACGTTGCGGAGATCTATGCCATAGCTTTTCTGGGAAGGACACTGAAGAATTTTGATCTCGCCCTCTCATGGGTCGAGAAAGCTAGTTTGCCCGAGGAGAATCGTCAGGTTAATGTTTCTTTCATATTCTATTTTGACATTTCTTTTGGAATTTTAGTTGGCCATTTTCAGTGATACTACTGAACAAACGTTTTGAAGACATTGATGAAAGAAAATTTACCAAGTCTGGGAATTTTGGACTGTAGTTTTCCAATACATTTTTTTGCCTCGTTACCAAGTGTACTTTCCCGCTTGAATGAAGATCTCTTGATGTCCATACTAAGTTTGAAAACGTTATTGCTTGAGATTTGTTTCCAATGTCTGTGCTTATTTCTAACGGATGCAATATAAATAAATGTAGTCTGGCACATGTTTGGTTGTTGTAGCTGCTTTGAATTCTTATTGCACTTGATAACATTCCATTGGTATTTCCTGTCATATATGGAGCATGAAGTTCTTCAACAATGTTGGCATAATGTCCAACATCTAAATGCAATATATCATTGGTATCTATTTTTTTAATCGTTCAAAATTCAGTAACTTGTGTGAAATAATGCTCTGTTGTATGCACCCTATAAAGTTTACCTTCATATTCTTGCTCTGTACATTTCCCCTAGAATTCAACAAAACTCTTGAGCATTTGATTTGTCTTTCCACACAATATCTATTGCCATCAATGTCCTGCCAGACAGTAGTCTTATAATCGACTTTTATGATAGTGTACATCATGTAGCTCTCTCACCATTTGTTAAAGTATCTGTTATTTCATTTTACAGTGTAGCATTTTTAAAAATGTGTATGCATAGTTGACTGACTATTCCTATATGGTTTTTTTCTAGGATCTGTTGAGGCAATTGTACTCAATGAACTCCTCTGAACCCGTGACTGAAATAGATGAACATCTGACTGAATCTTCTTCCATAGAGGACCATAAAACCAGTTCTTCAAACAATCAGGAGAAAAATTTAAAACAAGCGCTCGTTGAATTGTTCAAAAAGAGAGCACCTTTTTGCTGGTTCCGCAGCATAAGATTGAAGTTTGGGAATCCTGGATTTGTCATATCAAATGGAAAATTTTTTTTATGCTGTGCAGCTCTCGTCATATTTCATTTCATCAGGAAGTCAAATCTGAAGAGGTAAGGCATATCCAACTGCCAATACCTGTTTTTCCAAAGATTGGTTACTATTTTAATTTTCTTTTGCTCAACTTATCTACTTAGGGGTTGATATAGGAATTTATGTTGGATTGAGCTGAAAAATGGGTGATTTGTTTTGGTAAAATAAAAGGTTGCCCGGGACTAGACTATAAAATGGGTGATTTGTTTTGGTGCAAGTTGAATATAGCTTGAGTCTTGAGACCCATTGATGAAACTATTAGAGAAATAAGATTTAAAATGATGCCTGTCCATATGGGTAAAAATAATATTTCCGAGGATCTGTTGTGTTAAAGGCATTTTATTAATCAAGGCCTGTTTAGGTATACACTACTTATCTTTTTCAAGATTCTGAGATTTTTATTGAGTGTCTTAATCCATGTGTGATCCTTAAGTGCCAGTTGATGTGAAACAGGGGATTAGTAGCCTCTTGTCAAATTGGTCAAACAAGGGATTAGTAGCCTCTTGTCAAATTGGTCAAACAAGGGAGTAATAATAATTTTTTTTCTGAAAAATTAAAAAAATGGCATTTTTTACACTGGTCGGAGGTGGTGGTGCAAGGAGGGAGGTAGTACAGGCGGTGGGAAGGCATCCATATTTTTTTTGATTTTTTTATCAAGTTGTTATTAATTTTTAAAAAAATTATTATTGATTTGTTATTTTCTAAATAATTTATTACACAGTATTTTTTTACTTATTTCTCAACGATTTTTTGATTTTTTTCGAATTTATTATGAATTAAACATTTAATTATGACTTTTGACTATCTTTTACTCATATTTAAAGCATGGGTAAGAATAGAATGAAAAAATAGGAATGTTTCCAATAGGACTAATATGGTCCTATTTTGGAATAAAAACATAGCAAGTCCTATTTTGAGTTTTTGCCATAGTTTTAGTCCTATTTGGAGTAATTTCTATTGCTTCTACCAAATTTTTGTATAGATATGCTACATAATTCCTTATTAAGTTACCAATTTAAATAATTGTAAACAACACATTTTTCTACCATCACGTAGTTTGAATATATATATACAGGCTCAGAAGATGTGTGAGGAGTTGGAAGGTGTCGGTTAAGGCATATTTACAGGGAAATTAATTCAGCAGCTCATGCTTTGGCTTGGTAATATTCATTCAGTGAGCTTATTTTTTATTTTATTTTTTGCAACAGAGCTTAAATTTTTAACAACATGCTCAGCCCTTCTGGCTAATTCATTTTTCATGTAAAAATATTTAAAGCTTTCATATAACGTAAATGGGAATAGATTACTTCTTCTCAGAAAAAATATTTTCTTACATAAGGCAACTTAAGTTGAAACTTTAACATGCATAGATTTGAAGCTTTAGATGATTTTTTTGCTAGCATGTCATTTTTGTTCGGGAGTTCTCCATGGTTGTTATCCCTTCTGACTAATTCATTTTTCATGTAAGAATATTTAAAGCTTCCACATACTGTAAATGGGAATAGATTACTCCTCCTCAGAAAAAATCAAACCAAAAACAAAAAATAGTTATTTGGTAAAAACTTTGCAACCCTTGATCTAATAACTTTGAAAAAATAACTTGTGAATGGATTTTATGTTATACGTAGACATGTAGTATAAGTTTATAAGATTTTAATTTCACTGCCTCTATGGGACTATACGCTCCAGCTGATTAGAATGCATTTCTGTACTGATATTCCTGGTTGTTTTATGATTGCAGCACAGTCTCTAAAGAAGTACATGCTTTTGTGAGTGCCTATATCTAACACCCTGGATAGCTAAATCAAGGAATTGACTGACCGAGCCTGATTTGCATTAAAGAACTTTGTTTCTTTCATATATTGAGTTGATCTAACATTAGTAAAAATACACTTCCTGAGAGCATGTATGGTTGCATCTCAGTCATATGGATGTAAATAATGGCTACGCAACTATAATACATTACTAATGTGACCATTTTTGTTTCGATTGTTTACTTTTCTATCTGAAGGGGTGAAATTGCATTCTGTTTTTACTATGTTCACTTTTTTAAAACTATTAAATGTATGCAGGGACCCAGGCCGGGCCTAGGACCAGTCGGGCTTTTGAGGTTTGGGGGAAGGCCCGGAACCGGCCCGGGTTGCCACAGGGTACGGGCCGGGCCGGGCCTTGGGCTTGTTAGTTTTTTTTTTGCTTTTCTACTTAACCCCCCACTCACCCCCACCCCCAAAACACCTCAAAACAGTGCCGGGCCGGTCCGATTCCGGGTCGGGCCACCCGGCCTGAGTCCATGTCTTATTAAATGTTATGAAAACTGTTCAAAATTTCATGTGAAATAGACGGGAATCTGATTAAAAAAAAGTTCGACACATTTTAAAATTGTTTATATTCACCTTTTTAAAAAATCAAAAAATCACTAAAATAAAAAAAATGATGATTACACCATCTCAAGGGCGGGCATGATTGACTGGACAATATTTGCTACACCATTTAAACATTTTAGGGAATCCTTCACAATTCACAAATAAGCTTAAATGTAAAATTAATATTAGGTTTTTCACTTTTTAAAATTTCCTATACTTCATCCGTCCCTTATAACTTTGCCAACTTTCCTTTTTTAGACGTCCCATTAACTTTGTCACTTTCTCTTTTAAGTAAAGAATTTGTGGATCCAATTAATTCTCTCTCCTCTGCACAAATCTCAACCACACAGTTTTTACTTTATTAATCCCCGTGCCGGTCAAACTTGGCAAAGTTATTAGGGACGGAGGGAGTAGAAATATACTAGTTAATCTTTTCTTTTCATAAATGGACCATAGCCCGTAGGTATAAAAAACACACATTAGATCGTCTCATATCAAATTTGTTAAAGCTTTTGTGTGGTTTTAAATCATTCTTTATTTATTCTAAATCTATTTTTCTTATTAAGCGTGTCACTTTCTTATGTCTCAATGGTAGCTGGGTGCAGGTGGTGATGTTTAAGAAAAAACCTACTCCATATTACATAAACATCTAATAAAAAGATATAATAATATAAAATAGAGATTATATATATATATATATACACACACACTCCCTCCATATTTTAAAGTTTCATACACTTTACCTTTTTGATAAGTTTTTCCTTTAAAAATACTCAATTATCCTTACATTTTCTACTTTTTATCCTCTCTTTCCTACGTTTTCACCTTTCTCTCCTACTTTATCTATACTATCATTACCCCTATTATTCTCCCTTAATTTTTGTGTCATAACCTAATGTATGGATCATTTAAATAGGGAGGGAGTGTGTATATATATATATATATATAGACTTTGGATCAAATAAAAAATGGTTCCTAGATGAAAAATAAGAACTAATCTTGGCCTTTGATGTGAAAAAATGGATGGAAGAGATCAAATTTTAAGTTGGAAACGCGGTGGCATTTTGGTAATTATGATGATCTTTGAATGAAATTATTGTAACAAATGTGTACGAGGAATTTCAAAAAGTGCAAATGTAGAGCCAAAAGGTGCATTACGGTACATAATAAAATCTGCACAAATTAAAAGCAAATTAACAATCTTTTTATCACTTATGAGTACACTTTTGTTCATTATCTATCCACTTTATATTATAAATGTTTGCACTTTTTTGACAACGTGTATTGTTATTAAATTTCATCTAGTCCATCCATTTGCAAGTGATTAAAGGCCAAGATTTGTTCTCACTTTTCATGGGAAGACTACTTTTTACTTGAACTCATCCCTATATATATATATATATATATATATATATATATATATATAAATATATATATATATATATATATATATATATATATATATATCGGATCATATAAAAACACTCAATCCCATGAAAAGTAAGAAGTAATCTCAACCATATGATTCCTTACTAATGAAAAATTACGGTCCTAATTTCAAGACATACGAAGGGGGTATTATTGACTTTCCCAACTACAACTTTCTACTTTCCACATTTCCGTCTCGGTAAAGTACATTTAATTGGAAGCTTAATTACTAACTTTTTGTTTGGGTTTAATGCACCAAACCCCCCTGTGATTTGGAAATTCGGCGCATTAGCCCCCTGTGATTTAAAAAATGCGTCAAACCCCCCTGTGTTTTAATTAATCATGCGCCAAATCCCTTATGTGAACAAATTCAATTGTCAAATAAAAGAAAAATGATTAACATTTTTGTATGATTCAGAGATTTTGACATATTTATTTGCATATTCAATCAAAATATTAGGAAAAGTGATTTTCAAATCGTTAAATTTATTCACAAAGGGGGTTCTGTGCATGATTAATTAAAACACAGGGGGGTTTGACGCATTTTTTAAATCACAGGGGGCTAATGCGCCGAATTTCCAAATCACAGGGGGGTTTGGTGCATTAACCCCCTTTTTGTTTTATTAGCTTCGTCATCTACCTTCCTCTTAATCATTTCCATTGCTACTGTAGCTTCTGTTTCTTTCATATTATCATGTTTGCTACTCCGTATTTCACTACTCAATCTTTCATAACTCTTGCTCTTAATCATCCACGTACCCAATCTTTCATAAATTATTTTACAACTACTATCACAAATTCAATAATATCCATTTCTTTACTATTGTCCTCTCACTATAAACTTACCAACTTTGATAACAACAAAAAAACAAATTTCATCGAATTATTGCATCCATTTTTCATTACTACAAGTACACCTATCATTTATCACATAAGTGCACAATTATAAGTCAGTACCACATTTTACCACATTTAGAAATACTTATCACCACTCGTTCACATTTTACCACATTTAGAAATACTTATCACCCTATCTTTTCATAAATTATCTTACATGCACTATTGCACTAAAACAATCTATAATGTCCACTTTTTTTATATATGAGCCCGTTTGGAGACCCCTTTTTTCGGCTTATCAGGCTTATCAGCCAGCTTTTTCACCAAACACGTAATTTTTACTTTCGCGTGCTGAATTGTGTAATAAGCAGAAAAAGTAAGGTTGGGGTTACTTTGCACAGCCTATTCTTTTCTTATATATAAATAGAAATAGATTTCGCTTGTTATTATAAATTTACATGATGAGTAGGATATTGCATAATTTGAATTTTTCATTTGCGGTCTCAAATTTATAGTGCAACTTTATGTTTTACACGGTGCACAAGTGAATTACAAAAACAATATTCAAAAGTGCACAAATGCACGAGAAAGGTGCAAAACAATTCAATGAAAAGTGTCAATAAAAAAATGCAACATATTCTAATAAAAGTGCATGAGAGATGCTAGCTGAGAATTTGTTATATTTATATGCTATGCATTTTTAATAAATTACGTAGTATTAAAAATCAAATAAATCCACGCTTTATATGCTCAGGTGCACTTACTGATTTTTATAGTGCAACTTTATGTTTACACGGTGCACAAGGGAATTACATATATAATGTTCAAAAGTGCACTAATGCAAGAGAAAGGTGCAAAACAATTCAATGAAAAGTGTCGTTCAAAAACGTGCAATATATTCTAATCAAAAGTGCATGAGAAATTCTAGTTGAAAATGGATACATTTATACGTTATCATTTTTTAGAAATTATTTAAAATCAAATATATTTACTTGTTTATACAATCACCGAGAAAAATAAATAATGGTGCTGATTTTTTTATTCCAAATAACACCTTTTATATAACCACGTTGCATTTTATACAAGATGTATATATTATATAATAGAAAGATCATTTTTGGATTTCTAATAAATTATATATGTGAGCGTTTTTAATTGGGAAATTAAAAGGAAATGAAAATTAATAGAATTAATATTACACAAAGTTGGAATAAAGGTGCATCGATTTAATAAAAACGTGCATTATGATATGAATGAAATTGCAGTGACAAACTGAATGCTTACGAGTCAAAATTAATGCACAAAATTAATCCAAATTAATGATAAATTTGAATAATTTATCCGGATTTTGTAACAAAAATATTAAATTAAAAAGAAAAAGAAAAAGAGCAATCCTATGGTGCGTGGAATAAATAAATAAATGATCCTAATATTGATGCACTACCCATTAACGATGCACTTCTCTTATAATATTGATGCATCAATCCTATTAAAAATGCATATACGGTAGTAGAAATTAATCAATATATTAGGACACTTTCCATAATGGCAATCACTCCTAATTTAAATAGTAAACTTTCAAACTAACTCCGTATGAATAAAAAGGGAATTGGACAATTGATTTACGTAAAAGTCCCTATATTTCAAAATAACCGTAACACATTTATTGCAAATTACTACTTTCCTTAATTTTTGGATTTTGATAGTTAATTACATTGCAAATTTCGACCATCAGATCAAAGATCAGAACGGCTCTCCTATTTTCTCATTTCTCTCCTGGAACATCTTTCTCACCGGAACCGCTCACCAATATAGTTTAGTGGGTCTGGCTAGTTAAATTACCTGACAAGGCTATTTAAAAAATGAAACAAATAAAAAAAACTTTAAAAAAAATGAAAAAAAATACCTGACAAGGCATTGAAAGAAAAAAAAACTGGCAAAGGCATTGAAAAAAAAATCCCTTATTTCCGCTTAGTGCACAAACACTAAAGTAACTTACATTTATTTCCTGAATCCCTACTCTTCAACACTAAAAAATACGGTGTATAAAATAGATTTATTATTTTTTTGTAAGAAAATAGATTTATTATTTTGTGGGCTATGAAAATATCACTTTATTTTATTTTTGTACTTCAAAAATATCAAAATGGACTTAATCGGTTGATTCTGCTGATTTTTATGAAATTCAGGCAGAACGTGTTGAATTAGCTGATTATGCTATCATTTATGAAAAAATTATATTTAAAATATTTTTTATTAATAAAATAAATAAAAAATTATGTGTAAAAATAACTAAAATGGTCAACACGTTACTAACTTCAGCCAATACAGCTAAAAAAGTAATGTCAACGTTACTTTTTCTTGTTATTACACATTTCAGCGTGCGAAATCAAAGATTACGTGTTTGATG